GGGGTGGGGGGCAAAGACCCCCCCCCCCCCCCACAAGGGGGTTTTGTAAAAAAAAGAAAATTTTTTTCCCCCCCCCCCCCCCCCCCCCCCCCCCCCCTCCTCCGGCCGCATCCTCTCGCTCCCTCTCTGTCCACCCCACCCCGCCCACGTGTCGCCGAAAAGAACGGTGGAGGGCAAGGGTCGTCGAAAGACGGGGGCGGCGGCGGCGGCGGCGGCGGCGGCGGCGGTGGCGGCGGCAAGAACGGCAACGGTCCGCCAACTCCCAGGAGAAGGACTTCGGGGTCTGCCGCCGCGAAGAGGCTCAAGAGCAGCGGCGGCGCGGCGGTGAGTGTCGGAGGGAGAGGTCGGCGCCCGTTCATGTTATGTATCACGGCTGCAACCTCTCTGCCGGGACTGGAATAAAGTCTTGCAAGGTTTCGTGACTGCTGCTGCTCCGCTGCTGCTGATGTATTGTGCTCTATTTGTGCTCCTGCCGGACCTTTGGACGGGAGTGTTGAACGCGTAGGACGTGTGTCTACCAGGGAGTGGCTCGTCGACATTTGGAACTTTTACACAGGCAGACAGGGTTACGTAGGCAGACAGGGTCTCGCGATGTCACGCGTGGGGGGTGGGGCAGCTCCCGCATGTGTGCGTTTTTCACTCGCGCCCCTAGTGAGTGGGGTGTGCCGTGGCGGCCTACATGATAAAACGCCAGTCTACCGGAAGAGAGAGGTGCTGCCCCCTAGTAACATTACCTACCGGCTCTGACCCCGCTCAACGCTGCCTGCGAGTGGGGTGCCGTCCTCCTCGTCGTTACGCTGTGCGGGCTCCGGCGGATCCAACACGAAGACTGGCAGGATGACGAGATCTTTTGTGTGCATCATATCCCCGCATGAGCTTGGCACGCGAAAGCTCTTGCCTTCCAATACGATGCATCTAGTTGTTTTGTGCTCCACCCCATCCATCTGTCTATCTACCTGGGCTGGACGTCCAGGGTACGAATGTACGCCCGTGCTTTGGGCGGGCGAAACACTAACAGTGTAGCCGGAGCCGTGGCGTACATTTTACAGTGATTTCGTCTTCTGCTGTGCCAGCGTCGATAGAGTTTTTTTAGCGAGGAAACGCTTTCCTTTTTTCTTTTTTTTTCTTGTCGGCCGTTTTTTTTCACGCAGGCGGCGGAACAAGTGGACATCCGCGATATCTCTGAGGAGAGAAGACTCGGGGTGGTCACGGACCGGCAGGAGAGCGCCGCGATCGGGCTTGTTCAGGCTTGGGCGGAGACCGGGTCGGTACGTTTTTTTTATTCTTGTTCTTGTTCTGTGCGCGTCTTGTGCTTTACGGGGTGGTGGTGATGTGCTGACCCGCCGACACGATGTGTTGACGGGTTGACGGATAGAAGTGGGCCCTAATGTGTGTGTGTTGGAGGGGAAACACGTGAGTTCGTTCGTCAGAAAAAACGGGGGTCGGTGTAGTATGTGCCTGACTTACCCATCACGAATCTGCGTGAGTGTATGCAAGGGTGTCGTCCACTTTTGAGAAATAAGTCGAAAAAATCATACAACTCCTTGAGAAACACTATTTTGTTTTCATCGTCGTCTCTCCTTCCATCCCCCCTCTCTCTCTACCGCCCTGGGTTTTCGTTTGCTCTTCCGCTACTCGGTACCGCCGCCACCGACTCCAGGAAGCCCCCCTGTCCGAGGAGCCCTCGCGGTCGCCCTCGCCCTCACCTCCATCCGTCCCAGATCACCAGGCGTGGCGAGCTGCTCTGGCGTCAGCCCTGGAGGTCTTGCCAAAGGTGAGTAAGAGGGCATGAGAGATGGTCACTACCAGAACGACGGTGGTCCGGAGGAAGAACAGGGGTTCTTTTTTTTTTTTGCATAGCAAAAACGAGAATATGTCGTCGACCCACACACGCGCGCGCCTGCCGCGCCGCGAGAGAGCGAGGCAGAAGCACCGGCAGCAGCGGTGCGTTGGCCACGTGTGTTCTGTTTTTTAGTTGTGCAGCAAGATGCCACGATATTTTTTTGTCCTGTGATGACGCCTGACACGCTGTCATCTCGTACGCCCCCACACTGGCTCGTTTTGTGCCACAAGAATGTTGGAAACCGCAAATTGAACACCCCCGGCAATGTAGTGCCGTACCTTTGTTCGCTTGGAGAGCCGTACATTGAATCACCCCCCCCCCCCCTCCCCCCTGTCCCGGCTTTGTAGGGATGCGAGGTCAATGGTGAAACGACTACGGCATGATCGACTATGAGTAGATGAGTAGTACCCCCCCTACTCCTCCCGCTTCCCCCCTTCTCTTGTTTTCTCACACACACACGACCATATGTGTGTACCAACCAGCAAACGGCGGAGAGCACCCCCGCCACGTGGACGTTCTGGGAGAGGAAGATGCTCTGCGCGGCCCTCCTGGCACAGGGGGCGCCGAGTTCCAACAACGATGATACGGTGAGTCACTTTTAACCCATGCACGAAGTCTGTGCGGTTTGTATAAACCATACCATACGTGAACATGTAAAGAACGACCAAATACCAGTTCGAGATAAATACCCCGTTCGACGGGGCGTCTTTGCAGTGTGAGGGTTGACGGACACCTGCTGGGTGATAACTGGACTACCTTGCGTCTGTTTCAGCCTTGACCACACTGAAAAATGAGTCATGCCAACCGGAACAACAAGACGCCTGTGGGGGTACCGGTATCTGGTATGTTTACTAAATACTCATTTTGGATATGGTCTTGATACTCGGGCGTCCTGGTGCACTCTCTCTTCCCCTGTTGCGCTTGCTCCCTGTCTCGCCTTCCGCGCACTCAGGTGCATCCGGGCGTTATTCGGTTGATGCAGGGGCGTGAGCCGTTCGACACGTCTATGGACGGCATGGACATTGAGGTCATGAAGGGCTTCACGTGGGAGTCTATCATCGCCAGGTATGTGTGTGTGTGTTTTTTTTTGTGTTTTTGCGTTTTTTGTCCGTGTAGGTGGGTGCCGATTCCTTGCACCTCGGCCCTTTCTTTGTTTCCAAGTTGGGCTATCTACGTCGGATGGAAGTGGGGCAGGTCTCTGTCTAGCTGTGATGCCGTATTTTTGCTGCTGTCAGTGTACAGAGTGACCAAGGTAGCCACCCCCCGTCCCCCGCCCCCCTTCCAGCGCCAACTTGTCGAGGACCCCGCACGACGTGGCCCACTACTACCTCAAGCACTTCTTGCCGCTGTGCGTCGAGCTTTGCCGCCCCGGCGCCGGTGCCGGCGGCCACAAGGACGCCTCCGGCGCGCCCGCCGCCGCCGCCGCCGCCGCGGACTCCACAGACAGTGGCGGGGCTCCGCAAACGACCGGAGGAAGCACGAACGGCAAGGCCGGCGGCGGCGGCGGCGGCGGCGGCGGGGAGGTCGCTGGCTCGGCCGTTCCGGCGCCGCCGTCCTCCCGAGAGGCGGAGGCGGCGGCGGGGGGGGGAGGTGGAGGGACGGATGCCACGGACCCCCTGTCGTTCTTCCCGGACCCCACAAGGGACGCGTCGGAGCACAGTCCCGTGGCGAGGGGGGTGGCATACATCTTCCTCAAGAGGCAGCAGGTAAGGACGTCGGCGACTGCAAATGGACGGTGGTGATGGACGGTGTCTGTTTCGGGGGAGCATTGTGTGGGTGCCGAGAACCAACCCTAAATAACGTGTCGGTTGGCAAACGTGACTGCTGTGCTCTACTGCCCTGCTTGGGCCCTCGGTGTGGCATCATTGAAACGACTCGGCTTTCTTCGGCTACTGCTGTGTATCACAAAGCTTGCGCGTAGTTTTGACTTGGTCTGTCTTTTTTTTTCCAACTTGTTCTCTTGGTACTTCGGAAGTATGACACAATGAATCCATCTCTCCGTTGCCTCTGTTGGTGTGCTCGTTCGTTGCCGTCGCAGCTCCTGCGCACGATTAGGTTTTTCCTCCACAAGAGGAAGGACGCGGTGGCGCAATGGTCCCGCAACGTGCAGTCCGCGCAGATCAAGCACGACAAGGAGGTGCGTCGTGTGTGTGTGCGTCCCACGTGCGGTGACGTCTTTGTCTTGTCTCCATCTAACTCTCCCTCTTTGTCTCTCTATTTCTATCTCCCTCTTTTATTTCTCCCCCTCCCTGCCCCCCCCCCCCTCTATGGCGCCCGTCCTGAGCCGCACACACCCCACGCCGACGGTGGCGGGCTCCCGCCGGGGGGTCGACCACCTTCTCTTTTACGTTGTTTTGAGTCCAGCAACTGAACACCCGCAGTAATAGCGCGGTCAAGATATTTGCTGGAGAAGGGCGATGGATGTGTTTCTTGACGCGTGTGCTGGCTTGCAGGTGGAAGTAAACGGCGGACGTTCAGAGTTCATGGGACGACTTACAAGAACACACACACGGTTACCTCCTGAACCCCCGACCCCCCCCCCCCCCCCCCCCCCCCCCC